GGAGGAATTTGAATGCAACCCAAGAAATTTGCTCCAATTTTTGATATGTTGGTACGTGAACATTTTTGTGCTGTTTCGTGAGAAGACGCGGGATCCAATGAGCTGATACTTTTTTGTATCCCAACTCATCTGAGATGATTTTTTTGATACTGCCATAACTGTTTCCAAAATAAGCAGCAATTTCGGCAATTGTAATGCATCAGTCGGTCTCTAGAAGGTCATGAACCGTACAAATATTGTCTTCCGTTAGATTCGTTCTGCGGCGATCGTTCTCCTCAAGAGAAAGTCTTGTGCTAAAAGAACACGACCGTGAGAGGGTTGATTCCCTTAGAAATCCCCTTTTAACATCCCTATCATAACATTCTTAACGTTGCATCGTCCTACTTTACCTACTCTAAGCTCTAAAGCGAAATTCTCGTTTATATTTGATCCACCCTCGTATTCAAAATTTAAGAATTAAATTAATGGTGTAATGATAATATTTTAAATTTATCATATTATTTTAAAAGGGTGGCTCGGCTGAAGTTGAATTAATTAAAGGCCAAACTTTTAAACTAACCACCGACAAGGTATATTTAGAGAAAGGAAATGCTCAAGTTGTGTATGTTGATTACGAAAATATCTCGAAAGTATTAAAGGCAGGAAATCGCGTATTCGTGGACGATGGTTTGATTTCTCTCATTGTTTCCGCTGTCAGTAAGTGCATTTGTGTGTCTTTGAAAAATATAGAATTGACATGTTACGTATGATACGTTTCTAACGTATTTATTGTAATAATATTCCATTATTTTAGCTTCAATTTTTTTTATCGACTATTTTTGTGTATTTTGATAATGAAAAATGTTAATATATTTAAATATGAAAAATATGTAGAATGTCATTTTATTTATCAATTTTTTAGGTCCCAATTTAATCTCTACGACTGTTGAAAATGGTGGTATATTGGGTTCCCGCAAAGGTGTGAATTTGCCTGGAGTGCCAGTGGATCTTCCAGCAGTGTCGAAAAAAGATAAATCAGATCTTCAGTTTGGTGTTGAACACCAAGTCGATATGATATTTGCCTCCTTTATTAGAAATGCTGCTGCATTAACTGAAATACGTGATATTCTCGGTGAAAAGGGTAAAAACATCAAAATCATATCGAAGATCGAAAATCAACAGGGTATGACGAATCTCGATGAGATTATCGATGCATCCGATGGTATCATGGTAGCACGTGGTGACTTGGGAATAGAAATACCACCGCAGAAGGTATTTCTGGCACAGAAGTCCATGATCAGCAGATGCAACAAAGTTGGCAAGCCAGTAATTTGTGCTACGCAAATGTTAGAGTCCATGGTAAAAAAACCACGTGCTACGAGAGCCGAGACTTCAGACGTTGCTAATGCCATTCTTGATGGTGCTGATTGTGTTATGTTGTCAGGTAATTTATTTTAATGTATTACAAAAAGAAATAATATAAAACAAAATAATATATTAATAAATATTACAAAAATTCCCAGAACTAATTAAAAATTTAACAAAAATTTAATAAAAAATGGATTAACCGAACTATAAGTAATACGCAATGAAAGAGTTTAATTTCTTAATCCATAAAATGAATTACATTAAATTAAAATCTGTACATGTTTCGGTTAATTTTATTCTCAGATAGCAAAGCTTGCAGAGACAGATTTTGAGCAGAACATGTTACCAATTTTTGATTGCAGTAAGACAACAAATTGCATACAGAGTTTGTGACATTATCACTATCTGACATTATCAGCAAACTGCTGTCAGAAATAGGACAAACTCTGCTGATGTGCTTTGCCAGCAGATTAGCGGCAAAAACCTATAAGCTTTTGCAGCTCCTGTTCGGTTTCTGCTGCCATCTGATTCCTGATGACGGTAAATCTTGTTTGGTTTCTGTCACTAATTTGCTGGCATAACATATCACTAGAGCAATATTGTTGTTCATTGCTAAGCGATCCAGGGTACATTTTCATTCCCAGACCAGTCACGAATTGAAAGTGTACGCACCTAGTGCTCCCAGATTGATTGTCAAATAATATAATTTTTAAATCTAATAACTTATTTTAATATCACAAAAAATAAAGCATAACGAATCATTTTGAGTATGATAACGCAGTACTTTTTAAAATGAGAAATGAATAATAATACCGAGTTACTTTTTACAAAAAGTAATGGTAACTATTTTTTTTTAAGGTCCCAACTCTGTAATCTAGTATATTAAATATTGATATATTGTTTTTATTATCAGATATGCAATTATAAACCTTGTTTCTTGCACTTTTAGGAGAAACAGCAAAAGGAGATTATCCTTTGGAATGTGTTCACACCATGGCTGATATTTGTAAAGAAGCAGAAGCTGCAATTTGGCAGACTCAAATCTTCCATGATCTGTCAAGCAAAGCTCTGCCGCCTATTGATGCTACGCATGCAGTTGCCATTGCCTCTGTAGAAGCTTCCGTCAAATGTTTGGCTAGTGCTATCATTGTTATTACAACATCTGGTCGATCTGCACATCTAATTGCGAAATATAGACCTCGTTGTCCTATTATTGCAGTTACCAGATTCCCTCAAGTTGCTCGACAGGCGCATTTATATCGTGGAATATTACCCTTGTATTATGAAGGTATGATATCGATAAATATTGTTTTATATATAATATATATGTGCATATTATATTTATGTACAGAAGCACCATTGATCGATTGGGTGAAGGATGTGGATGTGCGTGTACAATACGGATTAAATTTTGGCAAGAGTCGTGGTTTTATCAAAACTGGTGATTCTGTGATAGTTGTGACAGGATGGCGAAAAGGCTCGGGCTTTACGAATACACTTCGTATTGTGTATGTAGAACGTGAATTTATTAAAGAACATCCCGCATGCACAATTTATAGCGATACCGATTCTTACGAAGATCTGTTAAATGATACATGATATTTTATTTTATTTATTTTTACAAATATTTCTTGATTTGTTTTAAAGCTCCTGAATAGTCGCTGCTGTGGCTATATTAAATTGTGACGTCATAAGCTAGAAATGACACATTGAAGTTTCTCTCTTACGTATCATTTGTAAGTAAAGAGAATTTGAATAAAACAAAATAATAAGATCGCTTTAAAACTCTTGTAAAAATAAAAGAAAGCTATCTTCCTTTCCTGATAGTTAGTACATACAGTAAAAGATATGTTAAGTGCGTTTATTTATTGATAGTGCACATGCGTAGTCTTTTCACTATATACTTTTATTTTACGTTTTACTTCATGCTATTTACTGACCGTCAAGGACAGGTAAGAATAGCTTTCTTCCATTTTTAAAAGTGTTTAAAGCAATCTCATCATTTTATTAAAAAATTCTCTTTATATGTGACATGCAAAAAATTTCATTGTTATTTCTTATCATATTATATAATACGGCTACAGCAACTACTTAGGAACTTTAATAGTAATTATATTTATGAAATATATTATTATTCTTGATTTGCATATTTACCATTCAAATAAATAATTTAAAATGTATATAATAAATTATTATAATACGTTTTATGTATATTACAATATATTTTGTATTTTAACAGAAAAATACATTCTATATATACGAGATATATTGATACATATGATATATTTGCTTTAAATACCTGCTATTTTTATAAGTACCGAGATAATTCTGATATCGTTTGTGTTTCAGCAGATTGCATTTTTAAGTATATAATTTTTAAAATTAATTCAAGTATAGTTATCCATCTCCTATATTATTGTGGTCATGATTTTAGCAGGAATACATTTGATTATTTATATTAATTGACGTTTTTTTTATTTTTAGGACTGTTGATTAAACTCACATTATGCTGGCAAAATTCTAGGAAGTAAGTATAGTCTTTGTGGATGTAGATGTAATAAAAAAATCATTGAGGAATACTTGAACATGTACGTAATTGTATGATTCTTTTCATGAATTCTATTAAATAGTTATATGACAATAATCTTAATAGTAACGTATTTTATTGTTGGAATATGTAAATTCAATGTAGAAACAAAAGTTTGATGGTTTAGAGAGGAAAAAAAGGTAACTTATAAAGCTTTTAAAAGTGATCTTTTTAGATTCTTAAGATCAATTTAACTTTTTTTTGTTCATAAAAATAAATAATTTTTATTTAAACATTCGAAAAGAGCACATTTTATGTAAAAATTGTGTAAGATGTGTGATTTAAATTACGAAATATTTAACAAAGTATTATTCCGAAAAAACTGTTGTGCTGTTTGGGATTCAAATAAAGATTCACTGTTTGCTGCTGATACTAGCACCTGTTCATTTGCATACCAAATACAACGTCCAAGTATATTCGTAATCGACATTAAAGTAACTTAAAGTATCTTAAAGTAACTTTGACCGAGTTAACATTTTTTTATTCAACTCAACACTTAACTAAATTAATTTTATAAATTAACGTTAACTTAATTTAGTTTAAAAAAAACATTAACAACCCTGATAACTGTTATGTGATACAATACTAAGAAAAATTTCAGATTAAAAATGGACGAAAAAGAGAAAATGTATCAGAAGATTACATCAAGCAGAATCTCATAATAGATTCTATTAAAAATTTTGTTTATTTTTAACAAAAATTCTATTTAATGCAACTGCTCTTTTTCCATGCGTTATATTACATTTATTTAGCTGGGATGCAGAATGTGTGCGCGCGCGCGCGCGCGCGTGTGTGTGTGCCAGTTCGAATTATGTTATCAAAATTATTACAATTTTTCCCGTGAATGTTGCTTTTTGTGTGCAATAGTGGATCGCTTTGACAAAGCGAGCGATTCATCAGATGAAGGATCGTGCTTCACAGTTTTCCTCGATACGTTACTCGCTGTTAAAATAAAGTAAAATACAAATTAATAATTGTAATTAAAATGATTTTAATAATTTGAAAACTTGACGTTGTAAACAATCAATTAGATTTTGTTTTTTAAAATTAATTTAATTAATTAAAATTTTCTTTTTTGTTTCCAATTACTTTAATGATGTAGTTAGTTCTAATGAAAATATTTAAAAGATTGCTGAAGCGGCCGAACATTTGATCGAAGTTAATAGTAGACTTTTTAATTCTCCAAATTCGATAATAGTGACATCTTTCATACATTTCTTATCGTATATTATATCGTTGTGTCTCATTCAAACTTTGTCTGTCCTTATCTAACATATCGCAAGGCCATCTATTACAAAATCGAACACCCTATTACTAGACACAATTTTAAGCATTTAATTTTAGTTTTATAAACTCAGTATTGTTTATTCAAATAACCCGCTTGGTGCAGAGTACTGTTATTTTGTCTGTACAAACATAGAATTTTTCTATTGTAACTGCACCCTTAGAGTAAAAAAAAATGTAAGTTTTTAACTTTCTGATTTTAGTATAAAATCCATTGCAATACTACCCAATTTTGCGTTTACTTCAATCGTAAAAGAATTTTTTATTTCATTTCGGATATATAATCAATTCGGAGATTCATATTGATCTGCAATGTTCCGATAATTCGGTCACTTCAGCATCCTCTTAAAAGATATTCCAATAGTACTTTTCTAATACATATACGTACGTTTCTCAAATTGCGGCTCTATCTTAACTATGCTACCGATACTCTCCCTTGATGACGTAAAAGCACTTATGCGACTTGTACTCTTCAAATGATCTACTGTATCTGCGGAACTACCGCAAGGACTGAGAGGCGATTTAATCGATGGAGGAAAATATGGTAACTCGATATTTTTGGCTATCAGCAATTTCTTAACATACGCTTCAGCTTCCAAGTGACGAATTGTGAATTCCGCAATATCTTGAAGAACCAGGGCGTTTTGTTCTTGAAGTTCTCGTAATTCCACTTCTCTCTATAGGGAAGCATCTCGAGATAAAATCGCCAAAGCATTTAATGACAGATATTTTTCATTCATTACCTACCTGTTGCAGAAGCACATTATCGTCTCTTTTAGAGATATACAAATTCCGTATATCTTTTTGTGCTTTACGAAGACTCTTGTCGGCTCTAGATATCTTTTCTTCTTGCTCTGCAGTTTGTTTCTCAATACCTGATAAGTAACGTTCTTTATTTTCTTTTTCTTCTTTGGTTTTTTCGATATCATCAAGCAACTGTGTATAATCATTCTGCGCTTTCTGCCCGATAAAATTGAAACATTAATTTTCTATATTTTGTTATTAGTTAAATTTACTCTATTACGCTTAATTTTATATTTTACAGGAGTTAAATATTTAATACATGCATTATTTGCAACAGAAAGAGATTTTTATATTGTACTATAAAAATAACATATAACTAAACAAATAAACTGAAAATAATTTTGTCGTAATCTTTATTTTCTAGACATTTCTGTTGTCACCTTTTTGTTCAAACGTATATAGTTTTTATTTCTTATTATTATGATAAATACCTTTTTATCTTTTAATATATTGTATACATTTTTTGATCGGTACAAAAAGTTTTCTTATCAAGTTAACATAAATTGAAAATCGATACAAATTAAAGTTAAAATTTTACACTCAACATATATATGTAATATAACATATAATGTTACATATTAATTTTAATTGATATTGATAGCTAGGCGATGTCCGCGAAATTACCTGTAATTCAGCAAACAATTGTTGCAATTGCGTTTGTTTCTGCAATAGCTTTTGGCGTGTATTATGCATCTGCTCGTCAAGCCTGTTTTGTTCCGTCCATTCAGGTCCGTCTTGATCAACCGTACTCATGCTGTCCCTATACTTGTCGTTACATACATTTACTACACGCAATGTGTTTTCCATGCTACGTATTTCCTGCTCGATTCGTCTGATTGTTTCGTCCAGTTTATCGCCTTGTTCTCGTAGCATGTATCGCTCTTGAGCGCTCTGTATCTTTAAGTATGCGGTGCTCATTGGCGCCCCATCTAGCGTAGTACCTATTGTCGCGACGCTGTTGTCATATCGCACCTGCAACTGCCGTACTCTGCTTTTTCTCTCAGTAATAGCAGTGCGTAGCTCTGAACACTCGTTACCGGCGACCCTCTTTTGCACGGCGAGTGCTTCTTTTTGCGCTGCGATCTCTGCTGCACGCTCTTTAAGTGTCTGTGAACAAAAGTGAATACATATATCAAAAATGATCTGACTTTGCAATTTATTATTGTACAATCGATTTCATATTACTATACTTAAGACAATCTCTATACATATATTGTAATATAATTGATTATATACAAATACCCTATATTTTTTATATCTACAAACTTCTTAAATTAAAAAATATTTATAGATTCCATTATATTATTCTTCTTTTGTGTTAATATAGTTATAAAACATTTTATGAAAATTATACATTTAAATATACTTAACTTTTTTAATAACTTAAATATAATAATTTTGTAATATTCTATTATTTATTTGATCTTAAAAAAATTCATTTGCAGTATGCTAGTGGCCCACCTTGACAAATTTCTAAATCTGCCAATGTATTAAACTAATGTTCTTGTTAATTTCATTAATTATGAAGTCAGAAAATGACTTACAGCTTCAAGATGAAGACGATACTTTTCTAAGTCGTAGACTTTGTCGCTCACGTTCGATGTCATTCGCTCAAGCTGCAACACTTGAAGACGTATTATGTTTTCTTCTACTTGTTTTTCTTCATTCCGGGACTGTGCGATTTTCAGTAGTTTCTCGCCACCATCTAACAGCAACAATAAATCCTGCTTTTTGCTCCGTAACCGTTCAAGTTCGTCATTTTTGTTCGATAAGCAACTAGAAACTTTTTTCATATCGTGCTATAGATAAAATATATTTCTTATGATCACGTTTTATTTAACTAAATTTTCTTATTAATTTTTTCTTTTTACAAACTTTATCTTTTTTTCTTAAATTAATGTAATTTTTTTAAATATAAAATATAATCTTACTTCCAAACTGACAATTTGATTTTGCAATAATTTAGATGTAGCTGTTTTCTCTTTCAATACAGTTTGTAGCTCCTCGATTCTCGTTTGTTTCTTTTCGACTTCATTCTTAGCACGCTCGTGCCCTTTAATCTGTTCAAGCTTCATTTCGCACTTTTGCAGACTGAAGTTCACTTGATAAAGAGCTTCCTTTTTCTCCTCTACAAGTTTGTTCTCCTTTACAAGCAGGGTGTTGAGCAGATCGACTTTTTTATACTCGCTCTGCATTTCCATATGTAAAATCTTTTTTTCGTTCTCTAATTCTACAATCCTCTTCGATGTACGTAAAATCATAGCTTGCAATCGACTTAATTCCTTGATAATCATGGATTTTCGCTTCTCGTTGTGCTGGAACCAATTAAAATAAATTTATTTTCTTTAAATAATTTTTATTATATTGAAATTAATTTTCTTTTTATTATATTTAGCAAGAATTTATCTTTTTTTGTAATAGTAATTGTATAAATGAAATAGATTATAACAATATTAAATTATATAATAGAAATATACTTCGATCATTTTCTCCAAATGCTTTGTTTTTTCTTCCACGTTTAGCTTTTGATTCTCAACCTCTTCCAAAGTTGACATTAAATTATTGATTTGCTTCTTGCAATCGTCCACCTTTATATGTTTGTTTTCGATTTCGCTTTTTTTACATTTTGTATTAGCTCGAATTTGTTGTACGCGACGTGCCAAATCTGCCACTAACTTCTTCTGGGTGTGAAGCTATCTCAATAATTATTGAATATAATTCATTCGGTAAAATTATGAAAAATAAAATAGTCAATAGCTGTTGCATTTAAATTAGCACACAAAAATTAACAAAACTAGATTTATAATTTTATGAAAAATAAAAATCTTTCTTTTTGTGTCTTTCACCTCAGTAGCATAGATGTCAATCGTTTTCTCGGTTTTGCGCTGTTTTTCTTGAACTACAGCAAGTTTCTTCTCCGAATGTTTAATCGACTGCTCTAGTTCTTTGTTATTTACAATTTGATCCTTTAAAAATTGCTCTACTTCTTCGAGATTACTTTTTTTCTCCTTACTGATCTCTCGTAACGTTTCAGTTTCCTGCAACGATTTGTGTCGTATATCGACGCAAAATTGGTTTTTGACAAAAAAATTATTTATACTCTTAAACTATTTTGTATATCGTTGTCTCTCTGACGCAGAATGTTGACACTTTGCGTCCATTGGTTTATCATCTGTCTGCGTTCTTTTAACACTTCCATGTACAGTTTCGCTGTACGATCCAGAACAATCTCCATCTCTCGTACTTCACCGATAGTTTTGATAATAGTTTGACGATAAGTTTCGAGTTCCATGCTGAGTTTCTGCCGTTTTTGTTCCAATTCCTAAGGATTAAATTATATTTTAAACAATATTAAACGAAAATTAACCAATACATGTGAGAAAAAGCCATATTCAAAGCGGTTCTTCATGTCTAATTATATTTTTTTTTTTTGTGAATTTATATACAATTTCTATGTATTCTAATATGACTTTTGTTTAACTTATATTTGTATTTTAAAATCAATCATCACACATTAGGTAAAACTTTCTCACTTTCGCACAGAAAAATGGCCTTTTATTTACTTTTATTATCTCTCATTAAATCTTACATTCTTTTTAATTTCTAAAATAATTGAACATTTTAAGTATTAGTACTATTATATTGTATAAACATACTAAAAATAATAAATAACTTTAAATCTTAAAACTTATCAAATATATATATTTAATATATGCATATGATATATACATACAGATGTTGGAAAATTCGAGGACACGAATTGCATAGCGTGATTGTATGAACCAAAAGAAGTAACTTTTTTCTTCGAAAAAATTACGTTCAAACAGTATTTTTTTAATGAGAGCAATTTTAAGTTAACGAATAAGCGCTCTATGTTACATCAGTTGCGGCGCACACATATGGCGTAGCCCGGCGTATGAAAATCTTAAAGTATAGACTTTTTACCTTTGAGAATAAAAAAAGAACTTAAAAAGTCTTAGAATATCTATTTTTTTCACGGAGTTACACTTACTTGAATGAATGTAAAATTTTGTTATAAATTTATGTTGCGATAATTTTGTTGATAAGTATATTTAAAAAAGCTTCTGATAAAAAATAATTTTTAGACCTTTTTAATCCATTTTGAATCCTATATTTTTCTAATAAAATAAAATAAAATAATAAAATCAAGTATTTATCTATATTAATATTTTAAATTAATTGGAATATAATAATTTCTTGTAATGCTTCACTAGAAATTAAATATATGCATTCCTAACTATATTTAACATATCTTTATCTTCATAAAACATAATTGTTTACTTTGTATTTTTGCGTATCTTGCTTCATGTAATCCTCTATCAATTGATTATCCTCGTCCTTCCGCGCAAGCATCTCTTCCCACTTGTGTAAGCTGTTCTCGTCAAATTGAACCATTTCTTTCGCCTCAGCTAGTTTTTTCATCATTTTAATCAAATCTTTCTCCACACTTGATACTCTACGATTTATATCTGTCCATTCCTTCTCGAATTCGCGCGTCTCTTGGCGTAACAATGACTCAGTGTTACTGCTCAAATGATACAGATGATCCTCTGTTTCCAGCTGAACTGAATGCTCAGTGAGCAGCTTCTGATTGAAGTCACGTCGTACGGCTAAGTCATTCGCGTGGTTTTGAATCATTTTCAACCGTTCTTCAAGGCTCTCCAACTTTGCATTTAACGAGATCTTGTACTTCGTCTTTCTAGCAATCTGTTCGGATAACATAAATGTCTAAAATATTCATAGCTCCTTTTAATTTTTTAAATTATATATCATTTTTTTTATAAGAAAGCAAGCTCTTTATGCCAAGTGTACTATTAACATGTCAGTTGCTATTTATATATTTTATTATTTCACAGATTTATAAAGGATGTGTTCCATATGGTGTTTATATGCTTACAAGCGCATATTTGTCTTTGTTTAATATTTGACAAATAACATGGATGGAATGATTCCACAAGTGCTGCAAATGTCAAGTGGAATGTATCCAAAATAGCATCACTTAGACATGCTAATTTAAATTATCCAAAGACAGAGTATTTCTATCTAAATAGTATATCAAATATGATTAACAAAAATAGAAGAGAGAAAGCATGATGACCAATCTCCTTCTCTTTCTAATGTATTATAGTAATTGGATAAATTAAGATATATAGAGATTAGCCAGCTTTGTATCCTATCTTTTTCTATTTTTATTCATCAATTTTATATACAGGTGGTGTAGTCCACGGGTTTTTTCCAACAATGTATACAGATGATACAATGTAATACAGTGAATCATTCCCTACATCCTTGTTTGTCAGTGGTAAACAATAAAACAATTACTGTATTACAACAATTACACAGTATGCTTGTTGAAAGCCTCAAGTGTTACATTGCTCAACATTGACTATGTTTCCACCGAGGGTCCGAATCGGATTAAAATCAGATTACAGTCAGATAAAAAATGAACCAATTACTTACACTATGATGAACTAATCAATTGCAAGTAATAGTAGTATTTTATTAGCACAGAAAGCGAGAATTATTAATTTTTCACTTAATATATAGAAAGATTATAGATTAAAAATAACGAATCATATAGAAATTTTGCTATTTTGAGTAATCCTGTCGGTTGAAATCGTGAGACTAAGTGAATATCCAAATCGCATAAATTAAATTTACTTCTTCCTCCAGATGTTTGTTTTCCTCGTTAGCTATAGGAATTCGGAAGCCATCCTGCCATCCCAACTGGCTTAGAATTATGTCTATGTTACGTGTCGCCATGTAGAGATATCGCTAATTGTCGTGATAATGTGATGACAGCAGATAACCAGCAAATAACAACCCAAGAGATCTTCGACCCGGCACAACCAAGTGCAACCAGGTACAACGCGACACTGTTTGTATGGTAGCGGTAAAAGTCCGGATCTACAATAGAGTTTTAAGCCGTAAGTCATAAGAAATGAACGAATCAGTCAATTATTCTCCTCGAATTCGACCGTAATTGGTTGATTTTTTACGGCTTAAGCTTAAAACACGAATTGTAGATCCGGACAAGGTTTAGAATTCGGACTAAAGGTACATTCACATGCAACCATCAAGTGTCAAGCAGCGGAAACAGCAACCAATCAGCGAGGCGATACGAGCAGGGGCGTAAAAAATATTTTCTTCACCACTAGCTATATCGCCTCGCTGATTGGTTGCTGCTTCCGCTGCTTGACGGTTGCATGTGAATGCATCTTTAGTTCTAGCACCGTAGACACAAAGCTTTACCAAGCTTTACGCTTTTTATGTTTTAAATGAAGGATATATTTTAAATTATACGCTGTAGTACATTCATTATCACTAAGAAACCAATAGAACATAAATGCGTGCAACAAAGACAACTTTTTTTGTCTTTAGATTGACCATACTGTCTACCAAACTGTCAGAAAAAAACAAGAGGGCATTGCAGCATTTTACAGCTGTTTTACAGCTGTAAGCTGTGACAGTTTTTCGAACTTTAGTAATCACCGAATTTAACGATTAATATTTTCGTTCGCGAAGCACACAAAGTGGTATTTTTTTCTTGCCAAACCTTTATTTATACGCGAAAACATTAAATGAGTGTATTTTTATCAAAATTTTAGGTGGAGGTGTCATTCTGAACATTTTTTATTTTTTAAATAATTAGCCAAAATGGAAATGGATCAAAATGTTGCACAAGCTCTATTAACACAAGGTGCTACGTTGGTTTTGCTAGATGTACCGATGAACACTGACATCGGTATTGATATTAAATCTTGGAAAGTAGGGCAGAATTTTAAAGGAATCAAACTGATCCCACCTGGAATCCACTTTGTACATTATAGGTAATATTGAATAGAATATAATTATTATTTCAGCTATACACAGCTAAAGACAGACTTGGTTAACAATATTCTGATCCATGCACATTCAATTAATGGAGAATCCCGTTAATTGTTATTTAGTAATTAATAAATTATTAAAAAATTGTCTGAAATTACATGTTCTTTATTGACCTATCTTCCTTTTACAATTCTAAATCTTATATCAAGAGATATCACTATGTACAAATACCTTTTTGTATAGACATGACTTGTATGCAGAGAGAACATAACTGTTTAAACTCATTGAATAATTCAATATTTATTTTTACAGTGCAGCAAACAAATTTGGTGAGTTGGCACCTAGAGTTGGTTTTTTTCATGATTTCCAGAAAAGTGAATTCTTAGTGAAAAAGTGGGATAACAAAAAAGAAGGTGTTAGTTCAGAATGTAAGCAATCAGGATTATTATCATTAATAATACAAAATTTAAGCTCTACATGAAATCTTTAAACAGCTGTGCCTGAGGAGTCAGTTCAGAGGCTAAAAGATAATATAAAAGAGTTGGACAGGTATTTAGGACCATATCCGTACGAGATATCAAAATCATGGACAAAATTAACAAATAATATCACTGCATCTCTCATGACGAGGTGCTCGCCATTATGTGGGTAAGTTGCAAATCTTGTCTACTTGAAATTTAAAACTTAATATATAACTCTGTTGGAATATTATGTTTTAGTTATGTGCAATCTGCTTTGGAATTGGAGTACTGCAGCGACGCTTCGAGACCACGTGGCCGCGAATCCACTAGCAAACAAAAAAAAGTTGGTAGACTCACGGCGGAGGGCAAGGAGGAGCAATTGCTGCCAAATCTGAAACCGAAGCCTGGTACAGAACTCAGGCTTACAGAAATACCAGATAAGCATTATCCCGATGGCGCGACTCCGAGCGAAATAACGCGGCATTCTCTTGATACTAGTTATGTTCTGGATACCACTCTGAAAAAATTGCGAGAGTAAGTTCCGAATTGAAATTTTAGATCTTATCAGCCAAAAGGAAGAAAGATGTGATCGGTGGAAAAAACGAGTCTTATGTGAATGTCTAAAAGTCCAATTTTTTTTAGACCTGTCGAAATTGTTGGGGAAATGCAGCTGACGTTCATCTGCTTCCTAGCTGGTCAAAGCTTGGACGCTTTCGAGCAATGGAAGAAACTTGTATCGTTAATTTGTGGCGCCGATGATGTAATTCCACAGTATCGCTCTATTTATATGGAGTTTCTGCAAGCCCTGGAAGTAGAATTGTCATACGTGCCGGAAGAAGTACTCTGCGACATTGTAGCGAGCAATAATTTTATATATCATAATTTGTGCAACTTATTCGGTAACATCGAGTCAAATTCTGAGGTGGACGGTCGATTGAAATCGTATGCCAAGCGTTTACAAGGTCGATTGACCACCAAGTTTTTGTGGGATTTTTCGAATTTACTCGAAGAGACAGACGATGAAGTACCTATTATTGTGACTTTAGCATAAATACAAATAAATGAGTTACAGCACATGAACTAATAATAATAAACTTTGTCTCTATATGTAAATAATTATAAATGAATCATATACCTCTTAACATTTTATATATTTCTGTTTGTGTCAATTAATTCCTCTCCGCAAAGATATTCTTTTATTATGCATTTGAGGCTTTCACGGGTATTTTCTTCAATTATCGGTGCCTATTGGCATCAATAATGAAGAAAGACACGGCGATAACCCACAAATCTTCTGGAATATTCTTTTATTAAAGGTCTTTATTTCAACCCAAGTAATGGCAGCTTTAATTTTCTGTCAAAAATTTTTCCTTGAAAAAAATTATTGTACTACAGGATATCCGGAAAATCGGCGTCAATACTTTGGGAAATGATCTAGGGAAAAAAGAAAAAAAAAATATAAACATAGGTTCGGAAATAAGTCGTTTTCGAGTTATAACCACTTTTATGTTAAAAAATAGAAATTTATTTTTCATAATTTACATACATAATTTATTTCATAGTGTTTTAACATAAATCATGTTTTATTTTTTAATTTTTCGATATTTGTAAATATGATTACTGCAGTATTTTTAGATAAACATAAACAAGTATTTAAATACAAATTACCCAGATAGCAAAATGCAAGCAGTATGCCGGCAGTATGCCAGCAAACTTGATCATGACGTGCAGCCTTAGAGCATATATACATGGAGGAGGAATTGCCTATGCCGCCTATAGATCAAAAGTATATATGCTCTAAGCGTGCAGCAGATATCAAGCTGCTGCTTCCTCATTAAGCTTAGTTTCTAACAGCTTATCCTGCCAACTTAACACAACGATAGAAATAAACAACAAAAATCAATCATTATTTGCTATCACATCGTGACAGCGAAAACGCGGTAAAAATACAATATGATCTGACATAATCAAGTACTGACAGCCTGCCGTCACGGCGTGACGGCAGGCTGTGCTCGATTTTTGCTGCGTTTTTGCTGTCAGTACTTAATTATGTCAGATCGTGCAGTATTTTTACCGCCTTTTTGCTGTCATAATATGACAATAAGTGTGCCAGATTTTTAACAACATTTTGCTGATTTATAACATGTAGACATGTTTTATATCAAGTTTTCATCTATTTTTTGTTAATTTATTTTGCCAGCATGTAATGCTCGAATTCTGCTTTCTTTATTTCGGTAATGCTTGATGAATTTTTACAGAATTTTTGCTAGTGTATTATGACGCAGGTCTGCTCTATTTTTGCTATATTTCTGTTAGCGCTATATTGAAATGGTAAACCGTGTTCGACTGTTGCTCGATTTTTGCCATTATAATAATATAGTATAAATTAGCAATGCGTGCTTTTGGCAGGTTTGGCTGTCTGGGTTAAATGTTCAAAATGACCACCTTCCATACGAATGTAAGTCAGAATGGATAGGGCGTGTAGGTCCAGTTGCTTGGCCTCCAAGATCACCAGATATGAATTCACTTAAGCTGCGTTCAAAAATATTGTATGTCGTCTTATCCTTGTTTAACATTGAATGAACAACAAGGATAAGACAATGTTCGAGGAAACCTGAGTGATATTTTCGAATGCTGCTTTAAGAGTCCTTAGAATCTAGGGACTCTAGTTGTTCCACAGTATAAACAATACGAAATTTGTCTTAAAAAAAAACACACCTGTATTTCTTCTATTATGTTTCTTCTCATGCCTTCTCTCTGATACGCGTGCAACTTCGGATAGCTAAGCATTTTATCTCTGTGTATATACATATATTCTTTTTTTTATATTTTCTACATATAAATTATTAGATCTAATAACCAAATATTTTTGGAAAATAAAAATGAATTTATATGGAAAAGACAAGGGCAATATCAGTTTACCAAAACGTCTTCAGCCCATCAATTTTGATGAAACCAAATTGAAAACTATTATTATTAATACGCAAAAATGTTTTTACGACTTAAAAATTGCTGAAATTAATAAAAAAATTCAAAGGTATTTTACAAAAAAACATTATTTAATATTTTGTGTGTGTGTGCGTGTGTGTTTGTACGAATGTGTACATAATTTTTAAGTTTACGTTTCTACGTTAATTTTATTTTTATTTTTATTAATTAATAGACAATTTAATTATTATTCATTATATAATTATTTATTGTATATTTTAAAAAATGTACCATCATGTAATAGTTGTTTATTTATGTATCATTTATTTCTAATCCGTGTAATAACTTAACAAAGTGAATACCAAATTAATTTTAAAATATTGTAATAATTATTGTATAAAGAAATTACATTTATTTTCATATTAAATTAAAAATTTTTTTGATAGATTAGAAGAACGGAACAGAGAATTGGAAAGTAATTTGAAAGATATGCATCATTTCATTAAAACTTTACAAGAAGAAAAAACGCAAGAAATAAGCAATTTAAAATCACAAATAGCTTCCTATATTAGCAAAATAATAGCATATAAACATCAATTAATTACTTTCGAAAAAGCAAGGATTGATGATAAATATAGTCATACTGTAACAACTATAAACATTGATGAAAAATATAAAAATACTCGAATCATGCTCATTTCACGAATTAAATTTTTAAGTAATTATATTTTATTAGTATCTTGTATGATTACATGGTTTGCGACAAAAAACAGCACTAAAATGAAACTATAGTCATTTTTCGCAATTTTCAACTTCAAGATTATAGATCAGTTAAGTTGTACTTTTTGCAAAAAGTGATTTTTTTTATACATACATCTTGAAGTTCAATATCCTAATAAAAATTCCAACTTTTCGAACTTGGCGAGCTGATGCTCGTGCTGCCGTCTTGGAAAATTAACGTCCAAAACACATTTTTTTCGTAGAACTTACTGATGAAGAGATTTTGCAAAAAAACTGTGTTTTTTGACATAAAAAACTTTGTCGATAAAAATCCATTTAAAGACATTTATTTGACATTATTTAGAGTATTTCTGCCAAAATTCATGACAATCAGACGTTTGACATTTTCGGAAGTTCATCCTAAAAACCCTCAAAACTGTTTAAAAAACACTAGAATTCAAGGTTTATTTTGATCGGTTAAAAATTATTCTTTTTTGTCAAACACCTTTGTAAATTGTCTTTCCTTTTTTCTTCTTCCTTCTTATCTATCTCCTCTTTCATTTATTTAAAATATACTAATTTTTATATGTTAAGGAGCCAAATGTAATATTTTAGAAGATTATAAATCAATACAACATATTTTGGAAAAAAAACTAAATACAAGAAATCAATTCTTAATTAACGAAAAAGAACAGGTAGTAGATAATTTATATAAAATTGAATGTAAATTCAAGATTGACAGAGAAAGGTATAACAAATAAATTTTGTTTTCTTTTATTGCAAAGTTATAGAAAAATTATGTAAATGTCTTATATTTTTTTATTAAGCTACACCTTTCCATCATAGAAAATCAAATTGAGAATAGGTAAAAAATTTAGTACTTTTTAGGTGCTTAGGTACTTATGTAGTACTCTATTTCGAATTTTGATGCTCAAACCGTTTAGTAGGAAAAAAAAATAAAAAATGAAAGGTGCAGCTTATTATTAATAACAAACTGCAACCCCCATCCTCTTTTTTATTTTGTTTCCTACTAAACAGTTCGACTTAAACTACCAAAATTCAGAATAAAGTAATAAATTAGCATCTAAAAAGCACTACATTTTTTACCTATTCCCAACTTAATTTTCTATGGTGGAAGGTGCAACTTGTCATTAAACTTAATAAACGTAAATATCTTATTTGACTATTGTATCCTATGCAGATTCAAAAAAGAATTATATAATAATGTTTTGAATCTGGTCAATATATTTCAAATGGAAGTATTGAATAATATGCCACGTTCCATATCCAACTTATTATTGGAAAATATAGCTGTAAAGAATCAGTTGTCAATGATCATGGAAAGTGTAACTTCTAAAACACAAGACTGCCTCTTGAGCTCGTAAATTAATTTATATTTACATACATACATACATAGATACATGTTACAATATATATGTACAGGATGTTCCTATTTGGAGCTTCAGATACAATTATCTGTCAAACTATTCCAAAAAATATTTTAATTTGAATTTATTTTGTTTCAAGATATTTTTTTACACATTTCTAGAGGCATCCAAGATTCAGTTTAAGTGTCGCGGTTTGTTTTTCATTAATTAGAAAAATCATATATTATATTAAAAATATATATATAATTTAACTTGAAAAATTAAAAATTACTTTTAAAATTTTAAAAGTATGTCAATATATAGAGAATCTGTGACCATTAAAAAAATATCCTTTTCAAAACAATAGTATCACTTAAAACATTTTTTGGAATAATGAACAGTTTGGGAGATAATTGCGTCCAAAAGCTTCAAATAAAATACTTGTATATGTTTAAAAATCTATTTTTAATTTAAAGTTGTATTTTTACAAATTACATCGTGACATTTATTATTTCGTAGGAATGCAGCAAGAGAACATAAAAGAAATATCAATAATATGCATTTAAGTACGACAAGATCTATAGTAATTTCTGAATTAGAAAAGTCTATAATCACAAAGTTACATAAAATACGAAAAAGTTTACCCAAATTAGACAAATCTACTTATTTTACTGAAGAGCAATATATAATAAAGAAAGATAATGCTAACATTTTAATGCGCAAACGTGAGACGCACATGAAATATATGGAACTATTACTTTACTGCGGAAAACAAAAACTCGATATTGCAAAATATCAGAAAAAATGGATATCTAATCAGTTGCAAGAACAATTTCACAATTTATACGACATTAAATATGTGTTTAAAAGTCTTAAAATAAAAAAATAAATAATCATGAATGATAAAAATGAGATTAAAAGAACTGAAATATGACCTTAATTCAAATCTAAAATAAAAATGGCTAAAATATAAAGGTGTAATAAAATAAAACAAAATCAAATGAGAAATGAAGTAATAAAAAAATTAATATATATGTATATCTATACACCATAGTTAAATGTGTTTATATGCTTACGCAATAAAATTAAAGCATTTTCACTAATAAAAAAAATTGTATATTGTAAAATTTTTGATAAATATTAGAAATTGATAAATATTTGATACTCTGAGATAAAAAGACTCTCACCCACTGTTTTCATGGATTAGAAACATTCCGAGCGGACACTTGTCTAGGCTACGCCGCTACATCTAGGCGGTTAGGTCCCAAGTGGGTAGAATATGTTATTTTTATTATAGCGGCCCCGAACTAATAAGAAAACTATTGTCTATACATCCCACTGTTTACATGATAGCAGATAGCTATCCTAAATAATTAGCAAAAATAAAATACACACATATATAAATCTATAGTTTTAATTTCATATATAAAATATATGAAAATATTTAACAATGTATTACAGTTATTAAAGAAATCGCAATAGTAATGAGTACGGAAATAGAAATATATGAAGCATGAATAAAATGTAACCTGAACGCATGCTTATATCGCAATATTTCACGGCTGTGATGTGACAATTCTCTCTCTCCTAACCTCAACAGTCGCGAACTTCAACGTTTAATATCACGGTTCGGAGGAAGGGGGGGCAAAGCGACACCTTTTTTTTGTCAGATTCGTTAATTTTGTACAGAAACGCATCGAATGAGTGTATTTTTATCAAAATTCGAAGTGAGAGAGAGAGAGAGAGAGAGAGAGAGAGAGAGAGAGAGAGAGAGAGAACTGGTGCAAAAGTTCAGTCAAAAAGAACAGGCCTAGACATTCACTGTCACTACACGGACGCTAAGTTTACGATACACCCACTACATAAAAAGAAATCGATAGAATATAAATGCGTGCACAAACTGTCCTTTTTTTTTGTTTTTAGAGTAACCGCACTGTCTATCGGGAAAGAAACGAGAACGAGATAGCAAAAGCCAAAGGACTAGAGAGAGAGACGCTCGCAAACGCACAACCCTTACCACCGTCCAGACCCCACACCCACACCATCCAGTTAGTGTACAGTGTGCACGGTGCAGTAGGATTGAGGCTACAGTAGGCATTAGCGATATTTAGTCATATTTCTAAGGAGATAAAGCAGTAATAGTAAAGGCAAAGAAGCAGCAGAAATTAATGTAACTTAAGAGAAACGAATTTATAAGGATGATAATCCGGAGAAAAGTGTGGCCGCGGACTATCAGCGATCTGCTGTCGATGGTCTTCGTCCTGATAGCAGCACCTCTTATGTACTGGTTTGGATTGTGGATAGTTATGCCGGAATTGTACAGGGACGAGAATTTGACATACATGTTCCATTTCATTCTTGGCAACTTCATTATGTTGAATATCATAGGTAACTTTACGTATACGGTGCTGTGCGATACCAGCACCGGTGGGCAGATAGTACCAGTAAGCACTGCGAAAGCATCAGACGGTTGGAGGCTATGTGCAGCCTGCGAGTGCTTATCACCGCCACGTTCGTGGCATTGCAACATTTGTGATACCTGCATCCTCAAACGCGATCACCACTGCGTGTTTACTGGCTGTTGCATAGGCTATTACAATCATAGGTACTTTATTATGTTCCTGTGGTACCTATTCCTTGGTGCAGCATATGCCTTCTGCTATAGCAGTATCTTCATCTGGAGCAGAATACCCTTCGAATTTCCAATATCTATCATCAAGATGGTCTTTCCCGTTGCAATCTTCTTTTTTGGCTTCGACAACTCCATCGATCAATTTTACTTGTTGCTGTATGTAATGTCAGCGATGGGCACTTTATATACCGGAGTGTTGTGCATTTATCACTTCAATTTGATTCTCAAGGGCGTTGTGGGTAATGAGAGCAACAAGAAAGATTTTACGTACAATATGGGTTGGAAAGACAACATTAGAGAGGTATTTGGAGAACGATGGTATCTAACATGGCTACTTCCTTATATAAAGTCACAGTTGCTTCATGATGGAGTTTCATGGCATCACTTGTATTTGAAAAAAGATTGAATTATTGTGATTAAGTGTTGTGATTCTTTTCAAATTATGAAATATATAAACATTAAAAATTTTGGAGATAACTTGATGGCCAAACAACAAAGATTAATTTCAACTATTAAAGACTTCACTTTTTCAATCAAAGCATACTAACTGAAGTAATCAATAATTTCTTATACATTAAAGCGTATTATCTATTCTGTATAACTATTATAAACAAGATTTGTATAAAACACGCAGTATTATATAATTTTATTTAATATACATACACAAATCATTATATATTTTTTGGCATATCTAAAATCACATCAATCATTAATATTAATTACCTCTTATATTAAAGCTGAATGAACACAAAAATTTCCCTACATTTTTCTAACTTTCTTAGGACTGGTTGTTCCACTGTTTAATAAATTTTATGCATTAGGAAGTCTTAGCAATTCATGTATATAATTACTACTCTAGTAATCTTGCTACTTACCTATCTTATAAAATTTATTGAAAGCATGGAACAATCGATCCTTGGTTGCCTAATGTATTATTTTTTGAAGACTATACTTTATGAAGCATGTTAATTTTGTTGTTATTTTTAAAAACAATAGAATATTTAATTGTACATTATGCATTTAATTGTACATTGTACGAATATTTTATTAAAAAACTGTACATATAAGAAAAACAATGGTTTATATACATAATCAATAAAAGAAGAAACAATTTTTCTCTGATACTTATTTACAAATTAAATATTTATAAAAGATTTCATTGGCATATATATTTGTAGATTTATAACTTACAACCATAATAATCTTTTATACGATCTCTCTCATATTGTATTTTAAAATTCGCTGTCAGTACAGAAAATTTATATTGCATGTAATGCGAATTATAAATTTTCAACGCTTAGAATGAATTTTAGAACATAGCCTTTGATTACTCAAGTTTACAATTATATTATGCCAACTAGATTATGATTTTACATTTTGTTTCTTTAATTTTTTTTTAATTAAATATTAACAATTGTGTACAATTTTTTCCTTATCTGAATACCTGTTTACCCTAAACGGTATAAAGTTTCTTATGTAAATAGTATAAAGTGTAAAAGAACTATGTAAAATAATATAAAAGGAAGGCGTATGTAAATATTTCAGGAAGCACGAAGCTAGAATATAAAATTGTAGTATCATTTTTCAATACCTGATATGCTATGGTAATTAATTGTATTGTCATTTTATACTGTTTAGGGTTTCCAATACAATATATAATAATAATAATATATAATAATATAATTTCGACAGAAAATCTTTTTATAATCAACCACATCGCTTTCAGATAAAGAAGCGCTAAATTTTCATCATTTTTTTATGACATGATTTTATGATTATAAATGTATATAATAATTTAACATACTACAGTAAGATGAGAGAACACACATTATTCTGTACCTGTAGTAATATTAAATAATCGAATGTATTTCATAAATGTACTTCATTCATTCTTATTTTGTCATCTGTAGGAGGGTAGTTCAAAAAGTCCTCAGCCTAATACAGAAATAATGAAAGATTACATGAAATCTTAGTGAAATGATGCTTATGGGACCAAACACATGTATTATATATTTGTTTTAGCTCTCTGTAATAGCAATTTTGTACACATTGCATAATAAATTAAATTAAAATCATGAGATTTTACAATTACAATTGAAGAAATGTGAGCAGATGCATTGTCATGGTGCATCCAAAAGTTGCTTTACACGACCGAAACAAAAAACTAATGAACGCATCTGTTTAAAATTTTAAGTATCTCTGTGAAGAATCAAATTTGTCTAAAATCATAACAGATTAATCTTTGTGGCGTTATTTCTGTGTTAAGCTGGGAGCTTTTCGAACTGTCCTCATATATTATAATCAGACATATACTACAGCGCATTAATTTCAATACACCACCAAATTCGTTAGTTTCTCTGAAAAGAATGAACGTAATATGAATGTTTTGCTCATTTGTAAACAATGTATATGAGTATAAAACATGTTTATATACCTAAATAAATCCATGTTTATCACAAATTCTTTTGTTTACTGCTTTCCAAAAAGTCGACGATTTGGTGTATTAAAATTAATGAGCGAGATAGTGTTAACAAATGGGTTTTAAAACATTATAGCATTAGACACGTATCTTATCACTACAGCACCTCGTAATTTTGCATGCGTATTTTGTTTATTTTCAGAAATCAAATATTATCCGGCTGTTCTGTTTCTTCAAAATTACAATTTTCAAGAACTTTTATATAAATAATGTATAAATATAATACATGTAAACACTGAAAGTGTTTATAATAATAGGTGGACTCATTTCTGTGCAAACATATCAAGTTTATCCTTTATAAAGAAATTAACAAATCTGAAGATATACTGAAATTAATGAGTGGTACATTTATAATTCTTTATTTTTTTACAAAACGATACGAACATCTAAGTAGAAACCATCTCTTATAAAATTGATAGTATAATAAAGATATATTTTCTTTGGATGAGTTTAAGGCAACGTTACAAAATACTGATCATTAATTCGAAAACTTAGAAGAGTTTTATAATTGATTACAATTCCATTTTTATTCTAAAAAATTATCGTCCAGATTTGAAAGTAATCGATATAAAATGTATGCTGTGTTTCTCAGTAAAAAAGTATATTTTTGTATATAATCTGCAAAATATTTGATTCTGATTAAACGTATTCTCACTTGAATTGAGAGAGGAGGTTCTTTTTTTAAAATCAATTTAGAGCTTAAATCCATTTTGATTTCTTAGTTTCTTATTATCGATATTGTTTGTTTCGCTATTGACTTATTTTAATGCAGAAAAATTTTTGAATTGTATTTGCTCAAATTTAAATTCAACTTTTATCGCAGTTGGAATGATTATTATAGCTAAAAGATATCACAACCCAAGAATCTAAAATTTAAAAGTTATCTTGATACTTAAGTGCTTAAGTGACTTGCTGGTCCTGAAATGTTACATGATTATATGCATAAAGTGCAAAGTATAAGAAAAAAAGATTATACTTTGGACAGTAGATTAATGTGACCCTTTTTTTTATACGTCCTCTTAACGGCGAACTTGATGCATACTAACACGAGTATTGCAGCTGAGGTAACATACAACACCACACAGATGCTGATATCGAATATGTTCAAGTCCCAACCGAAAGCCGTGGCGCGCTTCGTCTCCTTAGCAAGTCTTTCTAGTCTCATTCTCGAGTCATTGCCATTAGTCATACCTACTTCTTGTGAAGTGCTAATTTCATCAAACTTGATGCTATTATAGCCATACTTCACTTTTAGATATCGTAAAACCTCTTCCTCATTCCAGCTATTATTAACATGTCTGCATGCCGGGCAGTGTTCAGCTGCGGGATATTGTATCTTCTTATGCTCAGGATCCTCCGTATAGTCGCCTGACAATCGGGCATTTACTTGATTGTGTGCTTTCCACAACCAGAGCACTGCTTCATCTTTGCTACGTACATCGAATATCTTGCTTTTATCCGCCATATCCAGAAAATGCGCAGCACAATCAGCGCAACCAAAAAAGGTTCCAATGTAGCTATGCATCGCTCGCAGCACTGCCGCAGGATCCTGCGACAAAGCCTGAATAACATCTTTGTTGCGGTCTAACGCGAAATTTACAGTCAGCATGTGAAACATGGTCCATAATCCACAGGGATATCCACGATATGAATCCGTACTTCCCTTACATCCTATCCATTGACGAGGCTCTCCCGAATATACCGGTGACATTTCTTCTTCCATCGTTTTCGCTAGTTGACTGAACTCTTCGCCGGTCATAGCATTCTTCTTTTCGACAATGTCGTGTATCACTTCCAAATATACGTTATTATGTCGCAGAGGAAAATACGTCGCTAATACCACAAGGTATTTTTTTAACGCCTTCATTTTCTCACCATCTATTGAGTTCATCAAAGATATCTCGTGATTGATTGAATAACGTAGCGCATTCTCTAGATCAATTTGATACAAATAATCATTAGTGTTTTTCGACAATTGTAATTGTTCCTCTACCACTTCATGATTTTTCGTAATCGTTGAGATAGTTTTTTGATGTGTACTTTCCACAATATGCATAGTGTCATGGGACACTGTTGTAATCGTCTCATCGATATTAATTCCTCTTGCGAGTATATAATCCTTGATAGCTTGCCGAATTCCTTGCCTCGTCGGTATTCTCACGCTGATAATTTTCTGTGATTCATTGCGTCCAAAGGCTATCAAAGTTGGAAACTTGGTAACTTTGTTCATTACACATAATAGTTCGTTATCGGAAGTCACTCTACGTATCTGTAAGCTGCGGATTTTATGTAAATCAAGAATAACTTCTGTACCTAAATGTGAATCCGTGTTCTCGAAAATCAGAAAGAAATGCTTTACATTGCTAGATGCAGTTTTCCATATATCTGTTATTTCAACATTCCTGTGAACAAATAAGATATATTAAAGTATTTTTGAAATGTAAAAATAGTGAATAAATAACAAATAACACATTTACAATTAATAATAACAAATAACAGTTTGTGAAACAATTTTATTTTACTCTTATTATCAAAATAATTAATAATTTTTCTACTATAAAATTTTTTTATTTAAAATATTATTTATTAATAATATATAAAATTATAAATTGAATGAATTTTTTTGTTTAGTTATAAGGAGAAAGTATCCAGGTATTACCTGTGGAAAATTTATGACATACCTGTATGGTGCAATGTTAGGCCATGTAGATCCCCGTCCTTCCTGTTGTTCTGTTTCAAGCCTATTAATTAAATTACTTTTCACTGAATCAACGCTGTCCCCCTTTTCTATCACTATACCCAAGGACGGCGAGTGTGCGTTTATAGAGAAATATTTTAACATTGGATAGTGCATGATCTCGTACTCACGACAGATCGGATTGTTGTCACCATCGGCACAATCAATAGCCGAAACGACAACAATATCATTCCAAGCTGAAATATTATTTTTATTAATTATTATGAATTTTTATTTATTTATTTATCATGTACATGTAAATAAGTTAAAGTGAATAATTTCGTGAATACAGTTTTCTTAGTTTTCTATTCTGACCAAATTAATTTTTCAGGAAGATTATTTAGATAAGTTTAACAAAGAGAGAGAGAGAGAGAGAGAAACTTACGTAGAATATCACTTGCCAAAGCCTTCCACGTTGGTGCAAATCTATAACAAAAGCCACACCAACTGTTATAAAACTCAACCAACCAGCTCCTGGTGCTCTCGTAAACACTTGTTTTGAAATTTGTGGCATTGAGTATTACTACATCATCACTGGCATTGTATAAGCCTTGACCACCTAGGTTAACCAGACTTTGAGACTGATCTTTATGAGCTACTGCAATTGCGCTGTTCCAGGTTATCATTAGAATGTTGAATAGACATAATCTTAGTATAATTCCTGTTACTTCTAGCTGCTCCATCTTGCATCTCTAATAATTGACATTAGAATCCAACTACTCCTACTTTATCTATAATTATAAAATATTAAATGGTCAATAAAGTATCAAAGTAACGTTATATATATACATGTGAATTTAATATTGCATACATTAACTTTTTTTAAAAGTTAAAAGTCTTATCATATTCTCTCAATTCTCAATATTATAATTAAGATTCTTTTTAATTAAGTTCACCATTGGAAAACATTACTTCAAAAATTGCAGTTAAAAATAATAAAATAAAACATAATAAAATATATAAAACTCTTGTAATCTAGTAAGTAAAATATATTTATTATTTTCTATATACATCATTTATGTTTACTTCTATAGGTACATTTTTTATTCTAAAATAAATGCGAACTCATTTATAACCGTTATATTACTAGCTCTTGGCCCTTGTTATTTTTTATTCTATTTCTGACAAACTAAAGCTTATTCCACAATGTATTTTTTTACTTTTTGCTATTTTTTTACATCTTGTCTTTTTATTTCTTATCCCGTTTTTTGCTTTCTGTTGCCTGAGATAAAAATTAACAAACTGCAGAAGAAACGAGAAATATAGCAAGAAATATAATTATCAACAAAATGATTGTAAAAGAGGAAAACAACAAGAGATAAAAAGCAAGAAACAGGAAACAGAGAGCACATTATATAATAGAATAGACTTAAACTTCAGGAGAAAAAATGTGACAAATTTATTTTTTAGTTAAATTAAATTAAATTTTAGCAAATTTTAAATTAAAAATGATAAAATGACTAAGATTATTTTCTCACAAGTTTTCCATGAGAAAGATAAGCTCAAAATTAATTAAAAATAACTGTTGATTGAAACAAGAGTAGAAGTATGATTATATGCACATACACACACATATACAAAACATCTTGCACATAGTATTTTCAAAAGTAATTAAATATAAATTTATTTTCTACAGGACATGTATAATCTGAATTTTTTTAAATAAAATGAGAGAAAAATTCACTGAATTTTCTACAGAACACTTATAACTTGATATTTAAAAGGGGAAAAATCACTGAACATTTCCACAAAACATATATGATTTTATGAATTTTATGCATGAAAAATCAAGTACTAAGACAAGATATAAATAATGTCATTTTCGAATAATTAGAGACTCGATTTTTATAAGAAATAATTAAGAAATGCTAGTTTTGATGAGCCAATGCAGATATAAATGCGCAAATATAAATTTATTGTAGTATCACGTACAACAAATATAAATATATATAAATTTATATTTGTGTATGTGACACTATGATAAATTAATATTTGCGATTTATATCTGGGTTGGTTCATTAAAACTATCATTTCTTAATTATTTCTAATATCATTTTATAACATGTTGCATAGTGAAGATAGCAATCTAATAACATGAAAAAATGCTATACAGATACAGTACTTATCAAGGTGTTACCTCGTATTTTTTGACAGATACGTTTCCAGTAGTCGATTGACACTTCGAACGATATGGTCGGTTCCACCAGGTTCCACGTTCCACCTTAACATTAGAGGAAGTAATTTCTTAATTTACTAATTTACATTGATGTACTTACGCATGTATATATATATATATACACCAATATACACGGCAGCAATGCCGATAGCGAATCGTGTCGAACATAACCTGACATGCGTTCGAAAATAGGTTCGATTATTGGGTGCCTTCCAACAAGCGACATAAAGGCTATCACACGTACAAAAATTTTAGTAGTAATCGTAAGGTCTTAAGCAAATCGACCAATCACAATCAAGATTACGATTCACATTTTAATACGCTAAACTGTGACTGGCCGATTTGCTTAAGACCTTATACCTGGTTTATGCTTCGGTCTTAAGGACTTAATCCTAAAATTCAGCCAATAGAGTTCAAATTTCGGTTAGAACTGGTAGCTTTATTGGTTGAATTTTAAGATCTTGGGATTAAGACCTGAAGCATAAACCAGGCATTACGATTACTACTAAAATTTTTGTACGTGTGATGGCCCTAATGGGCCTTCTACAATAAGCCGTAAGTCACAAATCATAAGTCATAAGCTAGAAATGGACCAATCACAGTCGTCAATTTTTAGTTTCTTACTTCCGATTTATGACTTGTGGCTTATTGTAGAAGGCCCATAACTCTTTAACGACAATTTTACTAGCTAAGGATGTCGTTGCGCAGATATTTTACATGGTATAAAACCTGCGCAACGTATAACGATACCGAATTTTCGTTACAAGTTACAGAATGATCGCACAGGTTGATGCAAACTCCATTGAGCCTTAATCAGCGCTAGGCAAATTTCCGTATAAAGTCGATGGGCACGTCAACGGACGCAACAGTTGAGTGAGCGCTCGCTGTTATTGGTGTATTCTTTTGGATCATCTAATCAGAATTTTAGATCTAGAAGTATACACCAATAACAGCGAACGCTCACTCAACTGCTGAATCCGCTGAACGGCGCCCATATAAAAATATATCAATAAACTCGGTGTTAATAATATATTGTATTTAATAATAACTGTGTCCTATTTTTTCTGAATAACAATTTACACTTATATATAATACTATACATGTATATCCATAGTTGAAATTAATGTATTATATTTAAAATGTCTTATTAACTTAGAGAATTATTGTAAATCATTATCCAGTTCGTTTTGCCTCTCGGAAGCAGCTTGGAGTTGTTTCGAATGAACCCAGCGTACTTGATGGTGTTTTCTTTTTAGACGGAATCTAAAGGAGGCAATCGGGATACTTCAAGATGAATACCTGGTTCTGTTCTAGATATCGATTCGATGTCCATTCCATTGTTATTTCTCACTGGGCACTGCCAATTACAGCGACTTTTTAGTAAAAGAGAAGCTTTTATTTTATTTTATAATTATATAGTTTAGCAGGAATCTTATTTCAAATTAAAATGAGCCTATTCCATAATAAGCGATTTTACTCTACATATGTCTGCAAAACTGATATAAATTATATAAAATTAATACTACATATACTATCAATTTTTTACTCTTACAATTTTGTACTCTTCCAATTTCACTAGCGTTATTTTTGACTTTAAGCGAAGTTTAAAAATCTCTTTCCTTTTTTTAAAACTAATAATAGACAGAAAGGAAGAGTTGAGAGTTTTAAGCCTCGCTTAAAATTAAAGTAATGTTGGTGTAATTATATAAGCTTTCTGCTTTAATGATCTAAATTTTAACAATCACGCGAACTTCCACAGGATCGGCCGTCCGGTCGGTGTACAAGATGTGCGTGAAATTAGCACCGCCCTTTTGAAAAAAAAATAAAATAAAATTTGTGCTGAATTGTGCTAGATTTGTGCTACATTGTGCCGCAAGAATTAATGACATAACTCAAAAAACAAAGCGTTAAATTGAAAAAATCGTTTTTTTCGCCAGCATCACCATTTTGTTTAATCGGCAAAATAAACATTGTGCTGAGTTGTGCTCGATTTGTGCTACATTGTGCCGCAAAGATTTCATCCGTTCATTCATAACACAAAAAGTTATGACTAAAAATAGTTTTTCCCTCCGTGTTCGGTTTTTTGCCCATAAATCGGGTTTGTAGTGCTTCCATGTGATCCGACTGTATATCTGAGTTGTGCTACCCTTACGAAAAAAGCCAGCATAGGTTCTCCTCTCAGATTTCTCTCTGATAGAACGAAATCGACACAAAGATCGCGGAACGTCGACTCGAATCTATATAGTATGATTGTCGATCGATGGATTTTCCCAAACAATTTTCTCAATCATTCGCATCTAATAGAAAATTGATATTTTTTAAGAAATTAAAAAAAAATATCGCCCACCTAAACTTGCTGCCCGACGTCCCTATAGCCACAGCCTACTTTAGCTTCCAGTGCTAATCTGACCCTGATTACTTCGACGAGAATTCCTATGCTGACGAGAATAGCTTGTGCTACATGTAACTATGTACATATATATATCATACGTATCATGATGGAACATTATATCGTTATCTTTGTTTTGTCCTCGTAAACCGGTTTGCGTTGACGTGCGTTTCACGCAACGCATTCTGTCGAGTACTGATATAGTTATCACTGTTAAGTAAGCAGTTATACGTGAAAGTAACAGTGGAAGTCTACATTTCGTTGCATTTTGCATTACAGTTTGTCAAATCTCAAACCATATGTCTCAAACCTCATCCACGAGTGAAAATTGATGTGTCAATGAATCTTTGAAAGTAAAATTAAAAACGACTTTTCGCACTGATTTCTCCGTTTAAAAAAAATTTGAAATTACGTGAGTATGTCCCATAGTATCCGCAAGTGATTTTAACGAGTTTATATATTTTGATGAATACATTATTTTTATTCCATTTTTTTCGTAAACAGCGTAATGAGTTTACCGGCTCTACCACGTGTTTTGGTGTCAAGCAATGATGTTCCAGCTCCCGGTATCGATTTACTTCGTACAAAGTAAGTCTGTACATTTGGAATATACTAAAAAATTTACATAAATCACTTATTTTTACCGTTTTTGATATAGATGTGATGTTACTATTATACCAGCTGGTGTAAGTACTCGGGAACAGATATTGCAAGCTCTTCCTGGACATGATGCTGTATTCCTCGCTAGCCATCATATTGTCAACAGCGAATTCCTCGATATCGCCGGTAAAAATCTGTATTATTAATATTTTAATAGAACTTTCTTTTTAGTCTCCACAATTCCATATTTATATTATACAAATTTATTCTTAAATGCAATTTAACATTTATTTAAAAAAATATATTTTTGAAAATTGATTGTTTCTTATAAATGAGTAAAACACTTGGGTCTATATACAAAAATAGAGTTGTAATTTGTAAATCATAAGAAATCAATTAGAATCTTGGTAGATTGATTTTATCATATTCAACTGTGATTGATCAATTTTTTATTACTTACAAATTATGACTCTATTGTGTAACAAGCAAGATAACAGATCTTAGAAGAGTAAGGAGTCTACAATAGAAACCGTAGAAGTCGTAGCAGTCGTAGTCGTAGAAAATTGACCAATCAGATGATTATTTTTCTTATATTTGTCTGTGATTGATCAATTTTCTACGATTTAAGATTCTACGACCGCTACGACTTCTATTGTAGACTATGTAAGTTTAAAGAACATAATAATATCGTGTCAAACGATAGCCGTTAGCAATTTGTTGAAAAAATATTAGTAATTTCTAATTAAAGAAATCATAAAATTGATATATCGTGTTTTCTTCTTATTATTATTGTTTGTTTATAAAATTGATATATTTTACAACTAAAAATATTTTAAAGTTTATGTACATAATTATATATAAAATTTCAAACAAGATATAATATCAAATTAAAAATAAAGAATTATATA